AAAGCAGTATTGGTATTCTGTAATTAGCATGAGCTTAACCCCCGTCCCTTTAGGGCCAAGGCAAAAGCAAATAATATGGAGCAGAGCGTGTCAACAGGCTGCAGGCAGCAAAACGAAAGCTGACAGTTGGGACAGGGGACATTGAGTCAACGAATAGCAACGTCAGCACCACAACCAGAACGAGCATTGTCAGCTGTGCCAGGGTCGTTCCTTTTCCTCGTTCTACCGTTTCCGCTTCGTCTTCGGCCAATGTGGTCACGATGGTGTCTTGGTCCTGCTTCTGGCCAGTGCACATTTGCCACGGAGATGATTAGAAGGGGGGAGGTGGAAGGAAATGACGATAATAGAACAAGTAAACTATTTTTTTTTAAAAAAAAAATGACGAAAAGCAACAAAAAATGCAACGAAACAATGTCAAGAGGGTCTAGGCTTTCTTGGCCGGAACGACAAAGTCGCAAACACTAACACGCTCGCATGCTTTCGTACTTCGTATCGCAATTCACGCTACTTGTGGACAACATACCGGCACAACTCGATCGGAAAACATGACTGTAATACAGCAGTCACCGGAACGTTGACCTGCCCGGGCACACGAAAGTCGGGCACATGAAATAAACTTTGCGTGGAGGGGAACGGGGCTCAATCACTGTGCTCAATTTAGGTTGCGATTGATGCGATGAGGGACGAGGTCCGGCATGTATCTCGTGGTCAGCAACTCTGTTTATCTCTCCCTCCTTCCTCGTCCTTCTCGCAAGACGCCTCTTTACTGCGCGGTTTCCTGGTTTCCCGCGACAAGCGGCTCAGACAAGGGGCTGGTCTTTTACGGTGCCCTCTTCAGTTGGGGTCGCAGTCGTAGATGACTGCAGTGCAAACAAAGAATAAGCCTTGTCGGGACTTGGACCACAGCGACGATCAACAGGGTACAGGACGCACGCCACTGGCGAAAAGAGGTGAAAGGAATACCTCCGTGCAGGACAAGGTGAAGAACGACAAAAGCGAAATAACGAGTTGTCTAAAAAGGGGTTAATGGGACGAGATGGGCTTGGTAATACGACCGACTGCCTTGCTGTGCTCCATGCTCCGTATTCCGTACTTTGGTTTGTCGTAGTTTGTCGTTCTCCGTAGATTGTCGTTCCATGTTTACACATGATTGAAAGGGACAGGAGAAAACGCCCAAAAGGTTTCACGCTAGCAAGGAGACCTACTCTGCTGGGCAGGGCTGCTCCGACCCCAAATACGGAGGAATGCCGTTGGTGGGTATGTTGTCGAAAGGGGAAGAAGAAGAAAAGAGATACAGAATACGTTGTAGATCGAAAGGACGAAAAAGCGAAATATCACGAATACGGACCATCTCATACCAATTCACAATACGAATGTAGTCGTTTTCCTTTCTCATACCAGACGGACAGCCAGGGCCTGCAGCAATACTGTCGCTTTGCATCTTGCCTTCCCACGGAGAGAAAACGCCGCGGCGTGAATAGACTAGGACGAAGGATGTTGGGATGATGCAGGCGCTTGGGTCGCATCAGACGGCGTACTCCGTAGTCTAAAGGATCTCGCACCGTAGTACTGCAACGCTGCAAGCTAGAGGGTGCTTCCAAATAGCAACCATAACGCAGACAACGGTATTCTGATCTAGCCATTTTTATTTGATTATTAATTGTTGCATCGTCCGAGATACCACATCGATCGAGATTGACGCGCACAAGCCTCCCAAGCGTTGTGACAGAGGGCGAAAAAAGAAAAGAAACAAAAAAAAAAACCAAGAAAGACGGCTGACGTTATTCGGACGCTTCGTTTCGGCGACATTGGCCGAGTCAGCAAGGACTTTCCTCTTTTCAGTGAGGAGCGCAAAACTCCCCGTCAGAGTGAGATAAAAGGACGCAGCAACACGGTGTATGACGGCGTGCAACGTACGGTGCGCAGGGGCCATGTCGTTGGCGTTGCCGGCCCTGGAACGAGCTGGTAGTGCTCCGTAGGGCGTGTGTCGATGGAGAAAATAGCAAAATAGCATGTTGTCAGCGTCTGCGAACGTCCACCAAAAACGCCGACCCCCCAACAATGTGGAAACGCAGCCCCCTGTCGCTCTTGACTGTTTGTTTTGTCGTCGTCCCGACTGCTTCCCATGTCCGTAAGGCTACGCTTGTGCCAATCCCCGGGCTCCAATCAACGGGCAAACTATACGGGCGGGCAGAATGGCTCCTGGGCGCTGCTGGGCTGGTGCCAAATCCCTCCAATAACGCGAGAGCCAGTGACCCATGAGCAGCGAGCCAACCTGTAGGACCGTCAGCCTCCGTGAGCTAGTGCATCTTCCACGGCCTGCTCTTGCGGCGGCTTGACTTTGCTCTCCGAGCACCGAGACTGGTATCTTGTGGGTGCATCGCTGCGTAGTAAGATCTGACGGTCACAAGTTCACAGCGTTGGAAGAGAAATAGAAAAAAAGAAAGAGAGAAGACGACAGACCGTCTGCATGTCTTGCGCGTCTCGGACAGTGCGGTGCGTTGATGATGTCGCAGAGTACGGAGCACAAACAAACTCCGCAGTCTAGTTCATATGGCGGAATACGATGTACGACTGGAGAAATTAAAATCGATGCCAGCAGGACACCCCTTGGCCTTTCTGGCCTTTCTGACCGTTGTTTCTTTCGTCTTCTTTTTACACCGTCACGAGCTTATCACGAGCCTGTCACAAACTCCTTGCCGTTTCCGGAACAGTCGTCTGTCATTCTTGTCGCCGCGCTCAGGCCTGGTCAGTCTACTCCTTTCTTGGTTTGGCCGTCCGGTAAACGGCCGAGCCGGACTCGCAGAAAAGGTCCAAGAGACGTCCAGTTGCCAACACCCCCATGCCGTACCCATGCTCCGCATTGGTGCCGGGCCATTTGCTTTTCCTCGACGCCCTTGGAGCATTATGGGACACTGTCCAGTCGTGTCCAGTCGTGTCCTGGCTCCATCGGAACCGCCTGGATGGTTACATTCCCTTTTCATGTTTCTTTTTCATGTTTCTTTTTCATGTTTCTTTTTCATGTTTCTTTTTCATGTTTCTTTTTCATGTTTCTTTTTCATGTTTCTTTCTTTTGTCCAACTTTCGTGAAAGACACTCGATTCCACCGTCCAGCCCTTCGCCCCTCACGGCCAAGAACAACTGCACGTCAACACGGCGTCGATCGAGTACTTTAGCAATTCCCTCTTTCCATCTCGTACTCCATCGCCACGACAAACCGTCCTTGTTTATTTGCCTTGATGCTCCATGTTGTGTCATATGTTTACATCATTGATTGTCTCGGTCTTTCTTATACAAGAACATCGACTCCGTATATGTCAGCTCACATTGGTCCATCGGCGGTAAGAATGTTTTTTTTTTTAATCGGGTCGACTTGCCAAATCTATTCATCATTGTATTTTAAAGTGGGGGGAATGAGAGGCGAAGACAAAAGGCAAGAAACAAGACGTCGTAAGGACAGAAAAAATCTCATCTCAGGCTGCCAAGCTTCCATTTTTGTTCGATTGTTCTTTTTTTTTCTTTTTCTTGTCACCTTCCTTTCATCCCCTCTCTTCTTCCCCACCCTACATGTCGTACGTGTCCCTTGCATATTTGGTCCGCCTTGAAAGGCTCTCGCTTGTATTCGATACGAGTTCTAGAGTCAATGGCCATTGACTCGTATCTACATAGTCGGTAACTCGACGCAACTCGACAACAAAGACAAAGGAGAGGCAATGCATCCTCCGGACGTTTGATGCAGTCGAGTAGCCGTCTGACCCGTTTGACGAAAAAGACGCTTCCCAAGGCCCGGGCATTGCGTAACAGAATCGACAACTCAGGACACTGCCAGAGGAACAAAAGGCAACTAGAACGGTTCTAGAACAACTGACCAAACCCGCCGAGAACAAAAGCCCTCACCGTTGCGGACAAGGGCTGCAAGGTGAGAGAGAGGCGACGGGGTGGAGGAATGCACCCTGTAAATCGACTAGAGTCAAACAGGGAGGAGGCAACAGTTGCATGGTGTACGGAGGACGACGTAAGTGACCTTGACTTGCCCTGACCTGCCTCCACTTTGTCTCTGCAATCGCTGAAATCGACGATGTCGCAAAATAGCCGGCTGTCCGGCAGTTCCTGCAGGCCGCATCCAAGCGAGGGCGGTGAGGCGTCGTCAGTTGACTTTGTATCATATAGTCTACGTGTATTGTTGTACGTGTATTGAACCAACGGACACGGGAGTATGACCGTTGGGGTGCCCCTTTCATTGTTGTGTGGTTAATTTGTTTTAGTTGTATTTTTTATTTTTATTTTTATTTTCTTACTTTTACTCAGCTGCCTACTTTCGTTCAGCTGCCATTTCTTGACTTTGCCGCCTCCGTGTCTCCAGTTCCAGCAAGCAGAGTCAGCCAACGAAACCCGCGACTCGCATGTTTTGATGTTACCTTTGAAGACTGGTCTCGATTTTTTTTTTTTCTTTCCCATTTTCCCAGACTGCAGACTTGCTCTGCTGACCGCCCCTGGTCCATCAGCTTGGGCCATGATCGCCCAAGCTGTTCAGCATGGCGACGTACAGCGAACTCAACCTATTCTGCCCGGTTTCATGGTGATCGCTGCGGCGTCGTTTGTTGGCTTTTTGGTAGCTGCGGGTTCCTTTTGTTTGTCCTAATTTGCATACACGCCACCATTGTTTGCCGTCTTGTCCTGTTCAACTCCATGTATACATACGGTACCACTTGATACAAAGCAATGGTGGTCCGACAGCTGCCGGGCTTAGTGGTCTCTTCGATGCGTATGTACAGCATATGTACCACTGGATCTGGCGTTTCACATCGGCGCTTGCTAATAGCGTGACCCAGAGACATGGGACCCAGTTGCCTGCCCTTTCATGCACTGGCGGACGCCTTCCGTATTTTTGGTCGTCGTTGGCGAAATAATCTGCGCCCTATGGGAACGAGACGGGGACCACTCATTCTTCAAAAGAGGACATGTTCTCCGTGGTTTCGTCATCCTATCATCCTATCATCCTATCCCTCCTCCTCCTCCTCTTCCTCCCTGACGATCCCCGGCGTCGGCACAATGTCCCAATCGAGCCAATCTAAACATTTTGCATTGCCTGGGAGGGGACTGCGGACGGAAGATTGTGAGACGACTCGTGCCTGTTCGGTTCTTTCTCGGCAGCCAGCAGACGTTTTGGTGGCCCTGCGGAGGAGCAGGATACCAATGTACGTCGCATGCAACGTAAACGAAGCTTGCCAGCTTCCCTTTGTGGCCATTGTCCTGGATCTGTTCTGGATCTCGCCTGGATCTCCCGTCTGAGCCCCTGGTCTCCGTCATGATGGCGAAAATGCAGAGTAATACGGAGGACGGAGAGTGCGACATGCAACGAAATGCGGCTCCGTACTGCAGGGGTTTCTTGTGTCGGGTTTGGTCTGCTGTCAGACTTGTTTCCGTACCTGCTTCATCATCTCACAATCATCTGGATGCGGATCATAACCTAGATTATTATTACGTATTCATTGTTTATATTATATTTTTGTTGAATTATTTTTATTGAATATTTAATTTCTGCCCTAGTATTTTGTGCCTCGGCGTGCACCAAGGATCACGGACAATCCTCAATTGCAATCCTCAATTGCAAAAGATCATCACGACCAAGTGTAAGCTGCCAGACGGATCGCGATGGACGCAACCAGCAGCAGAAGGAGTTTTTGTCGCACCACAATACTTCTGTACAGAGGATTCCCCCCCTTATTGATTACAGCCTGCAGGAAGCAACGGAGATGAAAACAGGGGCAACTCCGTGTAGATACACAGATTGACCAAAAACTGGGGCCCTCTCGGGCGCCGAAAGGCTTTCATGTCCATTTTGGCCGTCGGCATTGCTCAACAGGGCATTGCCTTTCACGGCAAATTCCGGACGAACAGGTCAGCAAGTCCGAGGCGCTACGCATATGGAAATAAGGAACAAGCCCACGACACAGCCTGGTAGCGTGGTCTGTTTAGCGGTCATGCAGCGATCCTCTTGCCTGCCCTAACGTCTCACCTTCACCGAGCAGTAAATATGGTAAAGTAACAAACACCCATACAGTTGGCATTCACAGACGATTGGAAAGCAGAGACGGGGAAAGTCAAGGGGAATGGCGGTCTGCGGAGATACGGATGAAAATAACAATCTGGCGACGATGACGGCGACGTCGATGATGGCGATGACGATGATGACGTTGACGGCACACATTCAATGTCAGACAGACGACAGCCATAGACGGTTCCGCTTCCTCCAAAAGGCAGCAAAGAGCAGGGCCTCTTCCGTATTGTTGCGAGAGTCGGGATTAGGCATGGGACGATGGCGGTCTCTCTCTACTCACCGTATGAAGGGAAGTAACTATGGGTGTCTTTTTTTTTTTCCTTTTTTCTCTCGCCACGTCGTCCAGTATTGGGCCATCTGCCATCCCATCGTCACACCTCGCAAACAAGTACACTTCCTGCCCCGTACTCGTAAACTCAGTATGCCTGCAGGCGTTGGCGAAAGTACAGTGCATACAGAGCAATTCAAGTCGTACGATGAGTGTACTTTTTCAATTCGTTTCCATGTTTGGGCTGTCTTTTCCACAAGGCCAAAGTACCTATAGAAACGGCGATCGTCCATCTTGGCTCCAGATAAGGAGGCGAGGGAGGCAAGTGAAGCGAGGCAAAGTGCTGTGGGGTGCGAGAGGTAGTTAACTAGTGACTAGATTATCCTCTCAGCCTTTTGTTCAAAGCAGGAAATAAAAGAGAAACGGAGAAAGAAAATTAACTGCCGTACGATCGACATCGAACCAAGCGCAGGCATTGCCTCTGCAAAACAGATAAAAGTAGAAAAAATTAGAAAGACATGTGAAGCAGACCTAGCAGAGTAATTACAACATACAGTACTCCGTAGCTCGTTTGATAATTATTTAGACAACGAAATATTTACGTGCCATTCGTATCAGCATCTCGTGTCTTGATCCATGAGTTGAGACTGAATTGAGTCGACTGAATTGAATTGACTGGATTGAATCGGATTCGGCGTAGCCGACAGACAAATTCATATTGAAGGCAAATAGACGGGGAGAACCAAGATGAATATAAAAAAGTTGAATTGATTGGCATTAAAAAAACATCAACATGTCATCATCCAAATCAGAGTTTTCACTTCGACGTCACAGAGGCTGTTGGCTCAGCCGTGCATCGCAAAGGATCCATTTTCACACATTTCCCTTGAAGCCAGCACGCAACGGAGAGACAATGGGAAAGGGTTATGCAGGCTCGTCGCTGTCACCGACTCGGGCGAGCCGCTGTGGCCAAGTAAAGCAGTTCAGCAAGGCTGCGTTGGAATGGTGAACGCAAAAAACTTGAAGAAAAAAAATTAAAAGAAAAAGAAAATAAAATAAATTAAATAAAATAAAATGCCGCACCCAGACAAGAGACACGAGCAATAAAAATGCAGGTAATCTACTGTCGTTCAATGCCAGATGTCGTGCAGCCCATCGCGAAAGACGTGGGTCAATCTCAGACAAGCTTTTCCCGCAAGGTTGCGACGCTGCAGACGATGACCAAGGCGCCCAAGGCTGTCCCAAGGCTGTCCAAGGTTATGCAGTAACAATCTTGGCTATTCAAGGATATTCAGGAATATTCAAGGTCATTTCGCATGGACAGAGAGCGCGGGTAGCCATGGTGGAACAACTAGAAACGCCACAGCGTCATGAGGGGAGAACGACACGAAACCAGCTCTTTGGCGGCGCAGCCACAGCCTTTCTCGTGAGCTCGTCTCCTCGTTTAGCTTTTCAGGAAAGTGGACAATATGTAGCCCAAAGGATCAAGTGGAAAAACAATGAAACACGAAAAGGACGTCAGGATGTCATGAAAGGCGCCGTGAAGACGCCACAAAATCACTCTGGAAATCAACTCCCGGAATGAAGTTGCCATGTTTTGCACAAGGACCTGCCTCGTTACGTAACTTTGGCCTAAATGAGAGAGAAAACAGGAGGAGAAGAAAAAAAAAGAAGAGAAGGCGCTCAAAGACTTGAGCATCCACGCGTCGCCTTGCTGCTTTGGGACGAAGAAGCTCAAAGCGGCTCGTAAGGATCAATTTTGTGTTTTCTTCTCACCACGACCAACGCACTTAGCTGCCACACGTCCGGCTCGTCACAGTGGCGAATTGGCGAATCTTGTCACTGGTTGGGGAAACACTCGAGCTTTGGCCAGGACGAGCAAGGCCAGCTGAATCCCAAGGCCAGCTGAGGTGCAGCAAGAATATGCGAGATGCGTCAAAACAAAATGAAAATAAAATAAAACAAAATTAATAAATAGCAAATAAAATAACAATAAAAAAATCATTCGTTCCTCACCCCTTACGTTTGTGCGTCTGTTGACACCAGACCAACGATGGACGACAGCAGACACACCAACAGCCAAGGACGAAAAAAGGCCCGCCGCTGCCGCCAGTCGATTCTTTGGTCCCCTCATCGTCCACCTTTATTCTCCTCACATGCTTCCTTACAGGGCTGACAAAGAAAAGGCTAATGGGAAAGGGGTGTGTACCTGTCTCAGTACGTAAGTCGTTTATGGTCATCAAAGTAAATTGGCCGCCATTGTGACCGTCTCATGCACATCCAAAGCAACACGGCCGCGGCGAAGGGCGGCGGCTTTTGCAAAATCCGACCGTCGGCCGATGTGCGGAATACCACTTGCCTCATTGTAAGGATGGTGAGACTGTGCAGTTGGGTGTTCGTATGCTTCGTATCGGGCGCGAGAGGGAATGAGGGGGTGAGATGGGATGTACTACTGTGTAATTCGTATGTCGCAAGGCAGCATGAACGGAATGAGAACAAAGCGTCAGAAAGGAAAACACTGAAAATAAAAGCGCCGAAATTACAAAGTACGTCTCGAAATAAACCTCCCAAACCGGCAAAGCAAACAGCGGACAAGGCAACCGATCAGGAGAGATGATGCGCGTGGGAATGCCAGGACTGGATGGATGCCAATATTGTCACAGAACCGTCGTAGTTGACGTCGTACTCCGAGATTGGTCCCTGGTTTAAGATGGCTCGAATATGCGACAATAAGAAAGGCAAAAAAAGGCCACAAATCGGCAGTCGTCAAACGCTTTTGTTTGACTCAGGACTGACAGATCTCCCCGCCTCGGAAAGTGTCTCCTCTCCTGGTCATGGACCCCCTCACCTTGTCGATCTCGCCCTACGACTGCCATGAAGAGCAGCAGGGATGAATTCTTCGTACACCCACTCTTGTTGGAGTAACAGACGCCGAGACGTCGACAGAAACAGAAAACAGATGACAGGACAGACCTGCCACGAAACCAAACCAAACCCCGTCTTGTGCACCCCTTTTTCTCGTGCAAAGCCTGTCCGTGGGAATGCGGAAGACGGCGAAAAGACTGGGAAATAAAAAGGTTTTCCTTTTGGTTTCGTCTGGCTCTCGCGTCTTTTTTTTTTTTTTTTTGTTTCCATTTCATGTTTTATTGTCTGACTAGTATCTTACCATTTATTGCTTCCCCATCTGACTGGAAGCTCTCGTGCTGATGTAGTTCGTAAACTGACCAACGAGAGGCCGCAATCGCTTCCCAAAGGAACAAAACAGGAACAGAGGAACAGGAACAGAGGAACAGAGGAACACTCCCACGCTCAGGATCCTATTTTTGGAGCCATTACGACGGAATGACCATACCCTGCGAGTCTGTCCGTGCCATGCGTGAGGCGGGAGTGGAGGCCTGCCTGCCTTACAAAGATGGGATTGAGGCACCCTTTTTTTGGGTCGTCCTCTCATAATGCTTTCTTGTCTCCTCCCGTTTCGGCTTATTACCACCCTTGCAAACGGCAGACGGCAAACTGCAAACTGCAACCTACAGCGGGCTACAGCGGGGCCATCTCTAAACACTCGCTCGTGCACATCTCTTCCCGTTTCCAGCACATGTCCGAGCCGCGACGGGGGACGGAGGCAGGCATCAAACAAGATTTTCCTGTTTGATGTTAACGCGTTGCAATCACTGCCAACTCTGTGCCATTGTTCGCAGCCGTGCCCACGTGAGATTGAGAGACAAGAAAGACAGAAAAAAAGGAGACTGGCAGGCTGGAACTTGTGCATGTCTTGGAGTCTGTCCTCGTGGCATGGCAAAACCCACCCTTGGAAAAGAAAAAGAAAGAATAAATGGAGATGCGAGAGGGTCATGCAGCCTCAGCCCAGTAAGACCTGGCGCGGAAGAGCGGGCAATCTCCTTGGCAATCATTGGCTGTTG